AAAAACCACCGCAGCGGCCAGAAACGCGGCCGCACCCGCTATCCCAGCCCGATCCCCTCAGCGCTAAGGGCCTCTTAAGACACTAAACCACTCGCGCTCCCCTCAGGCCCCCCCAAAGCGCTAAATCTCTCCCTCCCCGCGCCTTCCCCCACGCAGCCACATCCCCCCCGCACCCCCCGCGAGCGGCACAGTCTCCCCCAGTGCCGTTACCCGCAGTCCGGCCCGGTCTGTTTCTCACACGGGGTCAAGGGCTCCGCTCGGCTCCTGTTCGCTCAATGCCCCGCGCCCGCCGCGCCGCCCTTTTATAGCCTCCCAGAACCTTCCAGAAGGACACGCCCCGCAAGCCGTGCTCCAGCCAATCAGCGTGCGGGTCCCGCCCCCTTGCCCGCCGCCGATTGGTGGTCGCCCGGCGTGACGTGAACCGGAAGGGGGCGTGGCGCGCCGGCCGGCCCCGCGTTCTCGAACCTTCATGCACTTTCCCAGCGCACCCCCGCCCGCCTTGAGCGGGGCGGGGCTTTCCGCAACCCACAGCCAATCAGAGCCCGAGTCTCCGGTGACGACACCCAGGGGCGGGGACAAGGGGAGGGCGGCAGCCAATCGGAGCGCAGCGCGCCAGGGGGTTCGTTTGCATATTTGGCAGCGGGGCCAATGGGAGCGCCGGGATGGAGGGTGATTTGCATAGAGGGAGAGCGGGGGGGGAAGGGAAAATGGCGGCGCCATGCGGGGCAGAGCCCACAGAGGTCCTGTGGGGTTAATGAGCGTTAATAATTAAGAGATCCTGTGCCCTCAGAAATCCCCTTCAAGGAATGGCGGCGTCCCCCGTTGCTGCGCTCGCAGCCCCTCCCCACAGCGTGTGCTCGGTGAATGTCCCCGGTGCAATAAACGCTGTCCTCCATTTTCCCCTCAGCAAGCCTCCCGCGTTTGTCCCCGCGCCCTCTTTTCTCTCCCAGGAAACCGCGTTTGTGGTGTGTTATTTAGGGTGACACGGGGTTTTCCCCGCAGGGCAAAATCCACCTCGGCGTCTCCCTGCTCCAAGTGTCCCTATCCATCAGCAGCTCCAAACCAAGCCAAGGCACAGGGTGTTCCCCTCTCGGCATTGCAGCTCCCTGCAGGGATCATTTCTGTGGAAATAATGGAAATAACGTGGAAAGCGAGCTGTCCCACATCCCACACAAACACTGGGATGGAGCAGAGGTCAGGAATCACCTGAGGTCAGGCTGTGGACTCAGTCCAGTGTTTACACGGCATGAAGGGCGAGTGGAAAAGTCACGGAGTCACCGGAAGGAGGGAACACAAAGCACATGTCCTGGCAAAGCTCCTTGGCAGGGGAAGAGTGACTTCCACAGTCACAGAACTGCTTGGAAAAGGCATTCGTGGTGCTCGGTTTGGCTTTTAGGCAGAAACACTGCTGGTAAATGCTTAAAAGTCCAGCACAGGGCCCCCCACACACTATAACAAATCCCTCATGGCATATCCCAACAAATGTTTGTCCTCTGGGATAGCTGAGGCCGAGGGGGTTTTTTCAGCATCCCTTTTTGGTGGCGGATTGCAATGAAATTAGGGAGAGGGTAGGGAAAGGGGCTCCACGTCACGGTGCCTTTAAAGATAAGAGCGAGCCATCACCCCATACCTGAGCAGGTCCACCCCACCCTGTCCAGAGTACACCCTGCTCCCAGGTTACACCAGAGATGCTCCTGGGTGTAAGTCACACTGAGCACACCACGCAGCGAGTCCCGTGGGAACAGTGCTGACAGCCTTTGTTTGTAAATCCTGAGCAGAATTCCAGGAGAATATCCCTAAGAATAGCACCTACCTGCGCCTCGAAATTCCACAGTGACATTTAGATGTGCAACCACGCTTGGCAGAGCAGGGTGATAGCAAATGAAAGAACAGCAGTGAGTCAGTGCAGGGAGGAGGGCAAATGACTCATTACATTAGAAATTAATCTCTGTTAACAAACTGGACCAAAGTAGCTCATTTACTGTGTATCAGAAAAATTAAGGCTTGGCAGGCTGGGCACTGTTAAGTATGTTGTGTGGAGTTTCTTCAAATTACGGATTCCAGTTATTTTTGGACGTGAATTTAGTACATTAGTGATCAGGCACTGCTTCTCCTTTAAGAGTTTAAAACAGAATGGGGAGGAGAACAGAGATTATCACAGACATTCCTCCTGTTCACAGCACTTATTTATACAACATTTGCATCTGCACTCCCTGGTTGAAGTTTGAAAATCACACATCTGCAAGGCCATCCCTTCCCTCTCCCACCACATTCTCCCCCTCCAGTGTGCCAGTACAAACGGATCCAGGTTAAAAATAACTCCAGATTCCTGATACTGTAGGGAAGCATGCAACTGCTCAACTCCTCTGAAAATCCCCAGTCAGGATTTCTAATGTCACCAACTCCAGCGGGAGCCAGTGAGGGCATTTCCTCATGGATCAGGGACAGCCAGGGCACACCTAGGAGACCTCTGTGTTTTGGTTTAAATCCCGTTTGGGTTGTGTTGCAATTCTGACTCCCAGATTTCAGTAAGGAGCGTTGCTGACGTGGGGAGACCTCTGCAAAACACCCTCGGGGAGAGGAGGCTGAGAGAAATCAACCACAATGACATTTAGTTACCCCCTAAATCCCACCTCCAGCTCCCACACTGGAGATTCCTGCTGGCTGGCTCAAGTTGTTTATCTGCAGCGAAGATCTGAACTGTCTGAGCAGGGGTTATGTGGCTGCCCAAGGTTTCCTTGCCACCTCACAGCTCATGAGATCACTGAAACACGGGGTGGTTCAGCAGAAAGGTCACAGGAGTGGGAGGATAATATCACCACCACGGCGTTCTATCTGTGCTGGCACCATTTACCACCTCCATCCTCAGCCAGGTGAAAGAGCTGCATGGAAGACAAAACACCATTCACTTGATCCTCACACATTTCTCACCATGGCCTGGAACTTAGACTGAAAAATACCCAGGAAAAAAACCCAAACCAAACCAAAACAGCTTCTCCATGTTTCCATGCAAATATGCAAATTAGCCCTTGTTGGCTTAAAAATGGTATTTTTAACTCCATATTTTTTCCCTTGGAGTCAGCTTGACAAGATGTAACACATCACACCACAGAAGATGGAGCACTGTACAAGTTGAGTTGAGCTGCAGCACTTCAGCTGCAGCACCTTTATTTATAAAACAACCAACCAAAAAAAAAAAATTATGAAATCATTGATTCAAAGGAATCAATAATAAATATTTGCTTTCCTCTGAGCTGTTCAGACACAGTACAAGTACACCAATTATAGCAGGTAGAAGAGATGGAAGCTTAGTTCAGCTGCTGAGAAATAAAAGAAAGCTACATAACATGGTCTGCATTTAATCACACAAGTAATAACTGGTATATG